ATTCCCCCCCACACACACACCCAGTGCACGAATTTCGTGCACCGGGCCCCTAGTCTATATATATAAAAGGCTAATATGCAAAGTGTCCCCTCAGTAGTTCAACCGACTGGAAGTTCGATCACTCGCTATGACGTGTGCTGACCACCAGGGAGCGGCACAGAACGAAGGAAGGCCCCAGCTGGCATCTTTTAGGCACCCTACCCATGCACGAATTTTGTGCACTGGGCCTCTAGTTATTTTAGAAAAAGGAACTAAAATACAATTCAAATATTTGTTAGGAAAAACTTAATATGAGTTACTAAAGGAAACTATATATTTAATGTATGCCTAAGCCCCATATTGGAAGGTCAGGAAGGAACTATGTATATTAATTCAATCAGACAATGAATTGAAAGCCATTTCTGCCTAAAAAGCAAAGCAAAATGAGCTATATAGCAGAGGAAAGTCTTTCTTAAAATAAATCATATCTGATAGTCACAGTCCTCTGCTTGTTCAGGAATTCCATTTTCTCAGTTTCCCCTGGGGTGATGGCCCAGAGGTGTAGCAGGAATTCACAGGAGACTTGCTGGTAAGCAAGAGTGTGTGTGAGTGTGTGTGTGTGTGTCTCTGTGTGTGTGTATTTGGGTCTATTACTACACTTTCTATTCTGTTCCATTAATTTATCTATTTGGCCTGGTTGATGTTGCTCAATGGTTGAGTGTCAACCTATGAACTAGGAGGTCATTGTTCCATTCCTAGTCAGGGCACGTGCCTGGGTTGTGGGATCCATCCCCAGTATGGGGTGTGCAGGAGGCAGCCAATCAATGATTCTCTCTCATCATTGATGTTCCTGTCTCTCTCTCCCTCTCCCTTCCTCTCTGAAATAAATAAAAATATATTTTAAAAATAATAATATGCACTATATCCACCAACTTTTTCTGCTGACCTGCATTGAGGTGTTATTCCCAAGGTGGCAGCAGAGAATCACACTCGAAACATTTTTTAAAGTTACCATGTACTATGAAGCAAGTTTCACCAAACTGCAAAGGATTAAAATTACATAAAGTATGTTTCTTGCTCTGTTTGGATTATTCTAGAAATCAGCAACAGAAGTTAACTAGAAAGTCCTTATATTTAGAAATTATGAAATACACTCCCAATTAAACCCCCAAATACCTCACAATTGGAGCTAGACAATAATTAGAACTGAATGATAATAAAAATGCTACATTACAAGACTTTCAGAAAAATGTGCTGTCTTAAGTGCACATATTAGGAAAAGAGACAAGTTGAATATTTACAGGTTTTACACCCTTCTTGGAATCTAGAATAGTAAATTAAATCCACAGAAAGTAGAGGAAAGGAACTGTGTGTGTAGAGTTGTCTGGAAGGGTATGTACTTAAAACAAAAGCAGTTTTTACCACTTGGGGGAGGATTTTGAATTAATTGTATATTTCTGTTTGGTTTAAGTGAGCTGCAACAAACAAAGCCATTTTCATTTCAGAAAAAAAAGTACTAGAGGAAAACATGGAATAATTAAAAAACTATAAGAACCTAAATTGCTGTGGTGAGGACACCAGAGCCTTTTCTTTGGTCACCCAGTTTGTCTGTCGACAGTCAGAGGAGGAAATTATTCCAAACAATTTAGCCCAATTTGCTCCTTTTCTAATTTGCACTTCTTCATGTGTCATTGCAGCAGTTCTGATGGAGGGAATTCCTAAGGCTTTGGTCTCTAAAATAGATCTTAGCCTGGGTCTGCATTTACAAGCCATGTTCTTCTGGACATGGAACAAATCTCTTAGGGTCTTTTTTTTATTACTAATAAATTTATCATTTTTATAGTTTTCCACTTCATTGTTGAAAAATTTAGGCTTAAGACTCAGCTTTGTTCCTGAAAGCCTGTAATGTTGGCCCTGGCAATGCTCAAGTAAACTGGGACCACAATTGTACATTCCTAAATCCGCTGTCTAGTCTAGAGGATGTGCTCACGGAAAGATGGTCCCATGGGTGGTCTCACATAAGTTGGCACCTGAGACTTGTACCCCAGAAACAGTCCAGACACACTTTTCTGGTCCTCACAGGCTGGCTGTACCTGCTCCCCCACCCCAGCTCACCTCAAGGCCCCCTCACTGGCCCCCATTGCTCACCTCATGTTTGGCATCACCCCAGGTCTCACTACCAGGCCCCACCGCTTGCGTGGACGCATTTCAACTTATGTCTGCCTCACTGCTCACCTGAGGTGTGGACTGAGGACTGTGGGTCGTCCTGGCCCAGCTTCTCATCTCAGGTCCTCAAGAATACCTATATGTTAACTTCTAAAGAAAAATAGAGCTATCAAATGAACCCAGATATTAATTTCATCCAGAGTACCATTTCCCTGGACTGTGGTAGAGAATTTTTTTTTCATGTAATTAGGACATGATCAAAGACTATTTTACATTAAAGAATTTGATGAGGTTTAGGAGACACGTCGATCTGATTAACAGTGGAAAGCATGCTAGTGTGTGAGTCAGAATACCTGTGTTTTATTTCCAGATCTCCAATTACTGGCTGTGTGACCTTGTGCAAATTACTTAAATTGTCTGGCTCTTAGTTTTCTCATCTGTAGAAAACTAAGTGGAAAGAAGATACTAACACTTTTTTTCAGGGTGTGCTTTTATTTCCAGATCTCCAATTACTGGCTGTGTGACCTTGTGCAAATTATTTAAATTGTCTGGCTCTTAGTTTTCTTAGAAAACTAAGTGGAAAGAAGATACACTTTTTTTCAGGATTATTTTGAGCATTGGATAAATATTACAAGTGAAGTTCTGGCACACTGCCTGGTGTGAGTTAAGTATTCAATAAATATTTGTTGAACTTGAACTCTGTAGGAAGTTGCTCTCAGAAAGTTATCTCCAAGAATATTTGAGAGTGATTCACACTAAGATGCAATAGCCACACGATTTATTGTTGATGGTCTTCTAAGAGTATTTGCAATTTTAGGGGTGGGGGGGCGCGGTTTAAAATGCTGAATCATCAGTTATCTTTATTGCTCGGATTAGTGGGTACCAGTTGCATGAAATTCCAAGGTGTTTACCTAGGCTACTCCCTGCTCTGAGTGGAAGAAGTAGATGCCAGAAGAGGTTTGGCCATTAGTAGGTTCCCACACTGGGTGTAGCTGGAATGTACCTCACCGAGGCATTTCAGTCCTCTTCATGGCTACATTTTTGAAAGGAGCT